ACTCTGTGACATCATCTCTTCATATTTATGATTTTTTAGAATAAATTTTTAATCGTAGTTTATAAAAAATAAATTTTAAAAAAATATATATTTCATTAAAATGGTTATAAAATAAATTTTTTATGAATCATAAAATATATTAACTTCTATCAAGTTAAAATTTGAAATGCAATTATAAATGAAAATCAGTATAAAAAACAGAGGTTATTTAATTAATAATAATACCTCATGGAAGTTTTCTTACACCTACCATCCTTTTAAATTTCATTTAATTAGTATAATTTTGAGAATTCAAATCTATTTAAAAATAAATAAATATCGATACCTTCAATTGTATAAATTCATACAGATTCACCTAACTAGCCTTTGTCTTATTGTCTGAATTGCTGTAACGTGTCCAAAGTGCCCAAATCAGAGTTGTCAACATGCAAGAATATGGTGTGACCTCTATGAATAAGTGGAATGGAAGAGCGAAGCGACATTGGGAACGATAGGTAATGGCTGCATCAAAATTAACCTTCAATTTTCTTCTGCTCAATTTCCTTGCCAGCCTTCGCATCCCAGAAATCTCCCTATGTGATCGCTCTAGACAGCCAAAAAGACATGTTGCTATGTTCATATTTGGAGATTCAATCTTTGATGCAGGAAACAATAACTATATCAATCTCAGCGTTTCGGATAGAGCAAATTATTGGCCATATGGAGAAACCTTCTTCCACTTTCCTACTGGGAGATTCACCGATGGCCGTCTCATTGTTGACTTCATCGGTAAGCATTGGACAATATAATATGAATCGTTTTGCGAAATTGTTGTTAAGTTTTTTGGGTTGATTTAAATTTTCTAATGGATAATTACATGCAGCAACAAAGATCGGTCAACCGTTCGTCCCCCCATATTTACAACCTGGTATTAATTTCACTAATGGAGTAAATTTCGCAAGTGCTGGAGCTGGTGTCTTTCCTGACACTGATCCTGGAGTGGTATGTGATTGTCCCAGTTTGCACTTCACGGGACTGGTAGAAATAGCTGAAAGGTTATGTACGTTTTGTGCTTCAAAGGCTTACCATTGCCTTATTTTCCAGATTACTCTTGGCATGCAACTTAGCAACTTCAAGAACGTGGCCATTTCGACGGAGGAGCAGATTGGGGACAAAGAGGCAAAGAAACTGCTGAGCCAAGCAGTCTATGCGACTTCTGTTGGAGCCAATGATTACTCTTATTTTGTTGATAATTACCCTAATGCTACTCAGCTGGAGCGAGATGAATTTGTGAACAATATGGTGGGTAACGTGACAGATTTTGTAAAGGTAATAGCAATAAAGTTTCTTATAAATAGTAGTGTGTGCTCGTATAAAGGGTTACAAAACCTAGCTCAGTTAATCGATGATCCAATCGACAATTAGAAATTGAACCAAGTTAGTGGAAATTAACCTTATTAAACCTAGATAACCTGGCAGATGAACCTATAACTCTATTATAACTTGGTCAAAATTCCATTTCACCTTTTTTTTTAAATGGATGTTGTTTTAGTTTTTTTTCCCCTTAAAAACAGAAAGTCTTAAAACAAATCATTTTAGATTTAACCTGGTACCTAGGACTTTGCTTGTACCTGTATACATAAATCGATAAAAAAACTGAAAATATTTCTTTATTCATTTAAGTGTATTGTGTGTAAAACTTAGCAAGTAATTATTTACATATTGAGATTCTTCGCATTTTTTTTTTCTTTTTCATTGTCGGCATTTGCAGGAATTGTACAATTTTGGTGCAAGGAAATTTGCTATTTTAAACGTAGGGCCAAGAGGTTGCCAACCAGCCGTAAGACAAAGCGAAGAACTCCGTGGTGATGGATGTGAAGAAGTATCATTACAGATGATAAAGAAGCATAACAGTGCTACATCTAAAGCCATCAAGGAATTGGAAAGTAAACTATCAGGATTCAAATACTCAATTCTAGACTTCTATACCATCCTTTTGGATATGATAAAGCACCCAAAGGATTACGGTAAGTACATATATTTTGATAATGTTAGGGTTTTAGTGAGGAAGCAAAGCAAGCGACACATTGTTTTCCACTCTTTATCTTTTGGTAATGCTCAAGTGTTACAATGCCGCATCATGAGACACAGTAATAAGTTTACATTGATTACTCTCTTTTAAGCATAGCATGGTTAAATGACTCAATCCATTTCTGATCCAGGCTTAAGTTGTGGATTAGGCGATTTGACTTTTAGGTTGACAGGCTGACATCTATTTTGAAATTTTATTTTAATTTTTTTTGAAATGAAGTTGTTTTTTTAACTCTAAAATGGGATTGTTTTAATAAAAAACAGTTTTCAAGTCAGGTAAATGAATCACTAAATTCACTAATCAAACAAGGTTTTAAGCAGTATGGACAACAATAACTTTAACATCAGATAAGCAGGTTGACAAGTTAATAGCTTGGTGTTTTCCACATCAAGAAATATGTTAAAATTGATTTATTGATAGTAAGAGTGTCGATAGATTGATCTATCATTTGGCATATTAACATGTTAATAGATCCATCAATGGATCCATTGTGATACTGTATATCAATGCTCTTCCTAATCATTCATTTTTGTTCGTGTCGGGAAGGCTTCAAGGAATCAAGTTATTCTTGTTGTGGCTATGGAATGTATAACGCAGCACATTGGGGAATAGAGCAATATACACTATGCAAAAATCCAAGTGAATATCTATTCTTTGATGGATGGCATCCTACTGAGCATGGTTATCGGATTCTAGCTGATCTGTTTTGGAATGACAAATCAAGTATCGCAGCCCCATATAACTTAAGACAACTATTTGATCTCGAATCTACACCCATCATTTTATCAGAAGAATATGAAGTTCCCCATTATGAATAATTTTCCTTCTGTTACTTTGTACCTTAAATGTATGAAGACATTGGCGAGGTCCTCTTGCTCTTCTCTCGTAGCTACGTCCTTAACTAGGACAACTATTTGTCAGCAATGTATTTGATCTTAAGTGTTCTATCCTATTATTAGTGGAAATTGGAAAATGTCTCAAAATGAAGCAAAATCCTTTTATTTATAGTCAAGCCATTCTCCATGTTACACTGAACCAGTTTTGCTTTTCCTTCCACTGTCTCATCTTCTTCTATTTTTATTTTTTAAAAATATATTGAAAAGGCCATAAAACCAATAATTAATAGCCTAAATAAAATGCAAGGATATATAAAAAAAAAAAAAAAAAAAACAGACTTAGAAAAAAAAGAAAAAAAAATTGATCTACTACAACAAACAACAAAGAAACTACCTAAGATTTCTTATTACACCATAATTTGATGCCTTCAGAAGATCTTAAGAGGTCATTTCCTGTATAAGTAAAGTTTAAATCCATAGTATGCAACCAAATGGTAACCCGATAAAGGATGATGGAGAAACAATCAAACAAGCTTATAGTTCCTTCCTCGAAAATAATTTTGTTCCTCAACAACCAAATACCCCAAGTAGTATTACTGGAAATTAGTCTCCAAGCTGATCTTTGAAATTTGTCTTGCACCATTTCGGGCCAGTGCAAAAGTAGCGAGTCAAGTGTTTTTGGTAAACAACATTGGATACCCCACCAATCCAAAACTTTCATCCAAACACTTCTAGAAAAGTTACAGTGCATAAAAAGGTGCTCTAAGTTTACCAAATCTGAGTTGCAAAAGACACATGTAGCTTGTGAGGCAGACAAAACATTCTGGTGATATAAAAAGCTCTTGTACTAACTTTGTCCTGGACTGCCAACTAGAGAAACACCTGAACTTTTGGAGGAGCCCCTTTAATCCAAACATTGGCTTTAAAAACTCTATCATTCGCAGAAGAGATATTATCAATTAGGGTGCAACAAAACTTAACTGAGAAGCTTCCATCAAAATTACATGGCCATATAAGTTTGTCATTTTTTTCTTGCCGAATTATCATTGTCTCCAGTATTGAGAGCAAATGATGATATTGTTGCTCTTCATAAGATAAGCTGTTCCTGCCCCAAACCAAATTCCATTATCAATGACCATTCACTCATTGAGCCATCTCATTAACCAAATCATTCTGAATAGTGAAAATTTGGTAAAGCCTAGGAAAATACTACGTAAAGTATTTGATCCTATCCACACGTCAGATCAAAAGAATGGAGGATCCATCTCCAATCATGAATTTAGAGTTTTCACGCTATACTAAGCCAATAACACTGCTTGAATCCAAGATCGACAAAACATCTTATATTTAAGGTATTCCTCGATATAATTTTTTTAAAAGATTTAATTAAAAATAAATGAAGTTTAGTGATAAAATAAATGGAGATAAAAATTTAAGGGGAAGAATCGGAAAAAACACTACTTAACCACAGCATATGAACAACATTTTTCTAAAATGTTTCTGTTTATTTATTAATATTAATTTTAATAAAAAGGCGAAATCAATTAATTGGTCTTACGAGCCATAAATACATGAAAGCTCAAGCTAATAGATAAAATTATCAAGAAAAAAAAAAACCAAACAACAACAACGCTGCTGAGATTGCTGTTGTCAACATGCGGGGGCTTCGCGAGGGAACATGGAGATCTAGGAAAACAGAAACTAAAATTTTTTTCCAGACTTTTGGCTTTGATTAATAAAAAATCTTAATCAGCTTTCTTTAACTAATTTGACAGTAGCTGTGACTGAGCTACAATTTCAGCCAACAACATCTTACAAAGCCTTGATCTGAGTAGGTCTAAGGCCTTGGAGATTCGAACCAATCCGAGTAATAATAGAATGATATATAATAACATTTCATCCACTGTGTTGAAAGTAAACAAAACATGGCAGCTCTCTAGTTTCCTAATCCGGTATGAGAGACCATCTACGTCAATGATAAGCTCTTCTATTTTGTCGATATCCATAGGTGAAAAGACTTCTTCTACATCACTTCTTTTCAGCCACTCGGAATCGCGTTAAGATGAAAAAAATAGTTGACTTATGTGTTTGATCCTTTTCAATTTTAAGTAAAATATAAGGGATTTCACCAAGTTTTCGGATCAATATAATGGATTGAGTTGAATTTGGCAAGCATGTTTTGTAGAGAAAAGCGCTCAAGGAGACTCAGACCAGCCATAGACTCATCTTTTAATCATATTTAACATGTAGCTTTTAGAGTGAGAAAAGTCTGATTTGACATTTAGTTTTTTTTTTTTTTGGGTAGCCTTAACTACGAAAACAAGGGAACAAAGAAGAAATGTTTCATTATACTTTTTTTAAGAGTATAAAAATTAAATTAATTTTTTTTAAAAAAATTCATTTTATATATTTATCTCTCTTTTCAATTATACACACACACACATAGTAAAATACCAACTAAACACAACACTTTGGTCTAGATCTTAAGAGTTCTACAAATGAAAAGGATGGAAAAAGTATTTGTTTTGGGAGTACAATATTTTATCTATTAATAATTTTCCAGAATTGGGCTCACAGATTTAAGAGGAGGTGAAGGAAAAACAATGCTTTCATTAACAGGAACTATAAGGTGAAGTTAAACATGGCTGGTCTTTATCCGTATCATAGCGCGGATCCATCGTTTTAAATTTGCTAAACTTATTTTTTTGAATTAGTTTTTTTTTTTTAAATTTTAGGCTTTAATATTTAGTTAATTTGATCTGGAATTCCTAATTTATTTAGATTTGAACTAGATAGGTAGTTTGTGCTATGTTGTGGGCTGGACTATTTTTTTTTAATATAAAAAAAAGATTTTATGCGAAACTTAGGATTAAAAAAAAAATCAGAGAATCAGGTCATTAAATCAACCGAGTTTAATAATCTCAACTAATCTAATAATACTCAAAAAAATATAATGACAACAAATAAACTGAATTAATAAAAAAAATTAACATTCAGGATATATAAAAGCCATGATAAAAAAAATAAGGACCCAATTTCTTCATTAAATTCTTTTTAATTTTTTTTAAACTCGTCTTAGAACCCATTGATTTAAAAAAAAAAAAACATTTGACCAAAATAATGTTATTTTTACATATATGTAAAATAAAGAAATTGGTTGCTCGAGTAATCCTGGCCAACCCATTTGATCTGTGACCTGAGACTTGCCTAGGATCGATCTCTGGGTCGAGTATAAAAACCATAATTAAAAGAACTAGGACACAACTTTCTTGTAATTTTTTTTAAAACCCCTTGAATATTTGTTTTAGGCTAAGTTAATCTGGGTAACCTTGACCAATCCACTTGATCTGTGACCCAGAACTTACCTAGGATCAATTTTTGAGTCGAGTTTAAAAACTAGAATTGAAAAAATAAGGATCAAAATTGACATTAAAATCAAATAAAATCAAACAATGATGGATGAATCTGAAAAAAAAAATCAATTAAGAAAATAAATGAAACCAAAAGAAATTATAATGAAAAAGAATGAGGACTAAATTAAAAAAAAATTAAATATAAAATTGACAATAAAGTCAATTAGAAAAAGGGTGAAAAGCAAAATAAATATCAATTAAAAAAAAGATGACCAAATCTAACACAAAAATAAAATAAAATGATAAATGATGAAACTGAAAAAAAATCATAAGAATAATTTAAAGCAAATACAGAACAATAAAAAATACAAGGACCACAATTGAAATAATATAAAAGCTTAAGACATTTTTAATTTTTGGGTAGGTAGACAAGATAGAAAAAAAGGGTGGAGAAAAACAAATTCAGCTACCGCCTAATGGCGACACTTATGACAACATAAACTGGTCAGGATAAAATGCCGCCTTGCAACACTTCGCCTAAGACAGCGGTTGGGTATTTTTGGATACCGGAGGAGGTGTCATGCATTGCCCAAATGACATGAACAACCTCCACAAGCTAACGCGTTCTTATCCCGCAACGATGACTTCTTTTTTTGTTTTTATAAATATCAAAACACCCTTGACCCCACACAAAATTTACAAAAAAAAATAAAATCCAGAGTGCAAAAGACGCCAATAACCCTAAAAACAAAAGCATTTATTTTAAAATCTAAGGATATTTTGATAATTTCACTATGCTCAAGAAAAGGAAAAACCAAAAAAGTCCATCTCCCAAAGTAAACCAAAATTCTGCTTCCAAGGGTATTTAGAACTTTACATTGTGTAATAGAGAAAAAAACATGCATATCCCTCGCCAATTCTACAATACCAAATACTAAATATATCCCGTGTAAAAGTCTAAAAATACCTCTAAAACTAGCTTTTGTGTTTCTCTTTTCCAAGGATAATTTGATAGATTTATTATGCAAATCTACAATGAATTGTGAGAAAAACTATACAATAACACTAACCTCTTTTAATATATGTATATTTTTTATAATCTCAGCCCTAAATAAAGAATTTTACATGTTAAACATAGTTAATCTTTATTAATTTAATATAGTAACATCTCAATATTTTTTATAAAACAATAACATCCAATCTCTCAATCTCAATATTTAAAAACTTAATTTCATAGTATTTTTATATATTTTTTAAGATTACAAAATAATAATCTAACCATGACCGGGAGGGTGTCAAAAAAACTAGTTGATGCTCCTCGGCGTTAAGAAGGCCATGGCCATCATCACCAAACCATGTGAACCCACAAGACTGATTCATGTTTGTTAATCATGATTAGGCTTTTATACCCGAACCCAAACCAAAACTAAGCGGTGGTGACTGAAATTTTAATGGGGAGAGGACCCACAGCTATAGGAAAAACTCGACCAATCAGCATTTCTTTTTAGAGAATTGAAAAAACTTTACTGTATATGCTATAATTATTGATAGAAATATGTCAATGAAATAATTCCCCGTTGGCATATTTTTAGCAGATATGTTTTTTTAGTATGTATATTTTTTATTTGTAAAACTATAATTTTTTTTATTGATAGAATTAATAATGAAAATTATATTAAAGGATTCATTCTGTTAATGAATTAATCAGTAAAATTTTCACCAACAAAATGATAATCTCACATTAACAAAAAAATTTCATCAATAAAATTATTAAATGTTGTAGTGAAAATTTTTGATATACTAAAAATAATTTTTTTAAAAAATAACATATATAAAACATATTAATCCATTAATATAAAACTTACTACACTCAAAAGATATTCAATTATGAATCTATTCAGATAATAACATCTTTGGCATTATCTAGTCTAAAAATTCAACTAACTAGCCTTTAGATTATTACCTTTGATTGGTTGGAATGTAGACGGTGGAATGGCTAATTGATGATGAGGTTAATGATGTTCCATCTAGCAGTTTACTAGATCTATTTGTAATTAGGTTCAGCGTGTAACAAATTCCAGAAATGATAGCTGTGGTACATAGTTTTACAGATCTATATGTATTTAAGCAAAATATTGAATTATCATCATTCCTTTAATATTTTTAAACATAAATTTTTTTTAAAAATAACATATGTAAAACACACACTAATCTGTTAATATAAAACACATCACTGATTAAAAAAGATATTCAGTTAATAATCTATTCAGTAAATAACATCTTTGGCATTATCTAGTCTAAAGATTCATCTAACTAGCCTTTGATTTATTACCTTTTAACTGATTTATTACCTTTTGACTGGTTGGAATTTAGATGGTGGAATGACCAGTTGATGATTATTTGAAAGAAATGAAAGGGAAGATTCAGCTACTCCCTTTCTTTATCAATCGGAATGAATTGCTGCAACTCTTAATTAACTGAGTTTTAATAATTCATTTTATGCTTTGGTTTATTTTTGAGTCAATATTATTTTTTTATAAATAAAATTAGATTATGTTTTGTTGATTTATATCAACTTGTCTAATCTATAACTTAAATCTTGAATTGAGCCGAGTTGATTTAGTATATTTATAATTATTGTGTGTAAAATTCATTTTTTTTATCGCATTTACAGGAATTGCTCAATGTGGGAGCAAGGGAATTTGCTATTTTAAATGAAGGGCCAAGAGGTTGCCCACCAGCCAAGAGACTAAAGAAAGAACTCCGTGGTAATAAATGTGAAGAAGGATCCTTGACGACTTCCTGTTTAAAGGAAATTCTTTGACCAGCGGATGCGAATTATAATCACTCCTCTGTGACATCATCTCTTCATATTTATGATTTTTTAGAAAATATTTTTAATTGTAGTTTATAAAAAATAAATTTTAAAAAAATATATATTTCATTAAAATGGTTATAAAATAATTTTTTTATGCAAAATAAATTATCTTAACTTCTACTAAGTTAAAATTTGAAATGCAATTATAAATGAAAATCAGTATAAAAAACAGAGGTTATTTAATTAATAATAATACCTCATGGAAGTTTTCTTACACCTACCATCCTTTTAAATTTCATTTCATTAGTATAATTTTGAGAATTCAAATCTATTTAAAAATAAATAAATATCGATACCTTCAATTGTATAAATTCATACAGATTCACCTAACTAGCCTTTGTCTTATTGTCTGAATTGCTGTAACGTGACCAAAGTGCCCAAATCAGTGTTGTCAAAATGCAAGGATATGGTGTGACCTCTATGAATAAGTGGAATGGAAGAGCGAAGCGACATTGGGAACGGTAGGTAATGGCTGCATCAAAATTAACCTTCAATTTTCTTCTGCTCAATTTCCTTGCCAGCCTTCGCATCCCAGAAATCTCCCTATGTGATCGCTCTAGACAGCCAAAAAGACATGTTGCTATGTTCATATTTGGAGATTCAATCTTTGATGCAGGAAACGATAACTATATCAATCTCAGCGTTTCGGATAGAGCAAATTATTGGCCATATGGAGAAACCTTCTTCCACTTTCCTACTGGGAGATTCACCGATGGCCGTCTCATTGTCGACCTCATCGGTAAGTATTGGAAAAATATAATATGAATCTTTTTCGAAATTGTTGTTAAGTTTTTCGGTTAATTTAAATTTTCTTTTCTAATGGATGATTACATGCAGCAACAAAGATAGGTCAACCGTTCGTCCCCCCATATTTACAACCTGGTATTAATTTCACTAATGGAGTAAATTTCGCAAGTGGTGGAGCTGGTGTCTTTTATGAAACTGATCCTAAAGTGGTACGTGATTGTTAAATAATTATTTAGGTGTGATTTGAATATATAATTTATATATTTTTTTTATACTCTCTCAAATAAAAATTATTTGAAATCTTGTATCTAATTTTTATCAAATACATAGAAATAATGAGTTTTGAACTCAAGACTATTTGATCATCAAGATTTTAATACCATGTTAAAGAACCATCTCAATCTAATAACTTAAATTATTAGCTATTAGGTGAGATCTTAGTATATGATTTATATTATTTTCTAACAATAATAATTAAAAAAAAAACCACTTCACGGGTCTTGTAGAAATAGCTGATGTTTATGTACTTTTGTGCTTCAAAATCTTACCATTAATTTCCTCATCCCCAGATTAGTCTTGGCATGCAACTTAGCAACTTCAAGAACGTGGCCATTTCGATGGAGGAGCAGCTTGGGGACAAAGAGGCAAATAAACGGTTGAGCCACGCAGTCTATGCGACTTGTGTTGGAGGCAATGATTACTCTCATTTTGTTGATAAT